GATGTGCTGGAGGCTTAATTAGATGCCTCGGCCGTGGCTTTCAGCTCTAAGACTCTATCAAAAAGGAAAAAGGAGAATTTGATAAATTCTGTCCCCGCTCACATTTTTCCAGACTCAGTCACCACTGGTTCTCCCTCAGTTAGTGGGGTATCAGCTGATCTGTTTAGTGATAACTAAGGGCAGGCCTTTCCCTAGAGAATTCTCCTGCCCTCCCTGCTTGTTGGTGAGACCCACAAACTTTGCAGTTGTGAGAAAGTTACTTCCGTGGCCATGAGGAGAGAGAGAGAGCATTGGAATTGACATATATAGTGCCTTCTCCTTATCCCACCAGTATCTGAAGCTGGACTGTGAGTTGGGCATGTCAGGGTGTGTCCCACCTCCTGGCTCTATCAACTCAGAGTCTGACAAATTCCCATGACAACTACACATGAGCAGCTCTGTCTCGCTTCCTTCTCTCCACCCTCCTGCCATCAGATCCTGCCTGCCTTGTCCATGTGTTCACACCTTCCTCCTTTTGCTCAGAATTTTAGTCACACTGACATCTGACAATTTTCGTTTTACTTTTGTGGGAGCCTTTTGCCCCTTACACAAATCCACATCCACCTCTCCAGCCCTCAGGCAAGCCTACTGCTGTTGTTTTTCTGAGAACAACTTGCTCCATTGCCTGCCTGCCACCAACTTCACTTCATACTTCTGCTGAAGCAGTCTTGCTTTTGTCCATTATGCCCAGAGGCTGAATGTCAGAGTGTGGCCCCTTCATGCAGCCTAGCGATGGCTCAGGATCAGTGGCATTCCTCCCATCTGTCTGGGTGGGCAGCACCTCTCTGCCTATTTGCATTTCACCCACGTGGCAGGGGATAGCTTTTGAAAAATGCCTCTGTCTCTTTCTACAGAAATCTGTAACTTGTGGCCCAGGCGTTCCTTAGATTATCATAATAGCATATTAGCATAATAGCTAATAGCCCAATATACTTATCAGGCATTTGCTATGTACTGATACTCATCTAAACACTTTACACTGATTCATTTAATCCATGTGACATCTTTTAATAAGTTGATAAGTTACTGTCGGTATTCATGTTTATCAGATGAGGAAACTGAGGCCTAGAGAAGTTAAGTCACTTGCAGCTAAGAGTTGAGTCAAGCAAATGGACTCTAGAGTACTTGCTTTTAAAGCACCGCTTTAAAATGTGCTTGCCGTAGATGATGCTATGATGAATTGAGCAACTGTGCATTTATTTAGGAAGTTCCATATGCCAAGACCTCTGCTAGGCATTTTATATATAATATCTCTAACAGTCATAACCCTGCAAGTTAAAACAGATTTGGCTCCATCTTGCAGATGAGACCACTGGCGCTCAATGTGTTAAGCAATTGGACCAAGATCGCACTCACAGCTCATGCTGTTTCTATTAAACCCTGTTATAAGTTTTTGATCCCACATTCTTTTGGAACCCACTTTGTCCTTTTTCTAACAAAGATATATTTTTTTCCCACCACTTGGATTCTGAGCTGCCAGCCAGGGCATGTGACTGGGCTCTTTCAAAAAGCATCTGAGATGGGTGAGGGACATGGAGGTTGATATTTCAGGGCTCTGAGGGGTCCAACTCCCTCCAGATCTGGAACCCAGCTTCTAATTCTGTGTGATCACAGCCCTCATCCCAGCTTCCTGCTGGAACATCTATTCCCCTTCCATTCTGTCCTGAGGACAGTGAGGCAGCCTCCTCACATAGCCCTTATCCTGTCCCGTTTATTCCCAATGATTCATTTTAATTTTGGCGAATGTTGCATTTTTTTATATGCAGGTGTTTCTGTGGATTCTCTGAAGCCTGTGTGCAGTGCACGGGTGTTCCCAATCTGGCTTCTGATGTATTTGCTCATGAAAACCAAACCATTATAGTGAAATAGGTCACATCTTGCAGTTCATTTTCTTTTAAGGCAAGTGCTCAGATTGGCCCTGATGACAGCTCTCATTGTTATAGATGAATATGCTTGTGATTATGAATCTCTCTCTTTCCTTCTTGGCCAATCTCTACAAATAAGCTGCCCAATGTTGGAACCGCTAACTGCCTGTGGCCACTTAAATTTAAGACGATTAAATTTAAATAAAATTAAAAATTAAGTTTCTCTGTTGTATTAGCTGTATATCAGGTGCTCAGCAGTCACATGGGTTAGCAGCTCCCAAACTGGACAGCGCAGGTAGCGAACATCTTCATCACCACAGGAAGTTCCGTTGGACAGTGCTGCTTTAGGGCAGAGGCACTGGCTCTGTTGTTTTGCTGTATCCCTAACACCTGCTTGGCACATGGTGACTACCAAGCGAATACACCAATGTCTTCCTGGCTTCAGTCCGTACTTCCTAAAACCATGTGAGTTACTTGGGCTGTCCAGACTGATATGCAAAATCTTCATGAATTGATGACATCATGGGTCACTCTCCTCATTGGCTTCATGGTGGCCACTTAGGCATCACAGCAGAGGGTAGTGTATGCTGGGAGAATCTTCCCATGATTCTACTCCCACCTCTCTTTATTCTGAGGCTTCTATCATCTCTTGACTTCTACTTTCTGCTGACTTATGATTTGGGCTGTGTATTGAATGAGAAAATGTCTGTTTCTCGCAAACCAACAACAAGAAATAATGTCGGAGGGTGCTCTCATGGCTTTACAGCTGTGCCAAGTATTCTGGAGTCTGTAGACATTCTATCTTGCCTTTGCAGCCACTCTCACTGGCTTCTGAAACACGGCACTGGAATCCATAGCACCCATGGAAGTGCTGCTCCAGTGAGGGCTGTGTCATGTGAAGAAGGGCTCTGTGACACAGGACTCCAGGTCTGGGCTCTAGGCCCAGTGCCAACAGAGGCCATGGGTTGGCCTCTTGAGTTGTGTGAAGACTTAGTCCTTTTCAGCACGAAAGTACCCAGGCATTGTGGTTCCCTTTCCTACTGGTAAATAAATGTCAACCTTGTCTTCCTGGCTGGGTTGTAAACCTTAGGGACAGTGTCAGTACCCTTCTTTGACCTCTCAGGACAGGTCTGACTCTGAGAGTTAAGCCCATCTTAGGAGATCATTGGCGAAGCAGTTTTCTAAACACCTCAGATGGGCACTAAACATTTTCCTAAAAGGACAAGAGAGTTGTAGGTTATACTTCTAGACTTGACTTCTAAAAGGAGTACTCATTGGCCAGTGTTTTGGAGCATATCACTGATTTTCATATCTGTGAAATGAGATCCCTGTTTCCCTAGAAACTGACAGAGGGCTTTCTGCTCTAGACCCATGAAACTCAGTCTCAGATCAAGGACTTTTGCATTATGTTTCTTTGTTTTCTTGAGTAAAGAATGCCATTGAACACTGCTAGCCAAACAGTTGGGTGAAGATGTGGCTGGACTACCCCAAGCAGGTAAATGTTCTAAAAGTTTCAGTGGAGTGTGGGATATAGGTCTCAATTCCATAATAGAACAACTGGGAAACACGTGCTCTTCATTTGGGATCCGTAAATATCCAGTAATGGGTTTTAGAGGAGTCTATGAACCTGAAGAATTGTAGGCTACATTTTGGATACATGTGTATATGTGTACTTTTTTTCAATAAGGTCACAAAGGAATCTGTGACTCCCAAATATTTAATAACACTGACTATAAAGATATTTCACTAAATTATTTGAGTGTAATTCTTCTATGAGATCAAAAGCAGACTATGAAAGCACTGGTCTTAGGAGTTTCAGAGCCTCATTAGCTATATAATTTTTCACTTTGTTTTTTGTATGAAAATAGAATTGGTTAAAATAAGCCTTTTTTTTTTAATTGTACTTTAGGTTCTGGGGTACATGTGCAGATCATGCAGGATTGTTGCATAGGTACACACATGGCAATGTGGTTTGCTGCCTCCATCCCCCTGTCACCTGCTTCTGGCATTTCTCCCCATGTTATCCCTCCCCAACCTCCCTACCCCACCCCCGCCGTTCCTCACTTGGCACCCCCCAATAGACCCCAGTGTGTGATGCTCCCCTCCCTGTGTCTATGTGTTCTCATTGTTCAACACCTGCCCTGCCTATGAGTGATAAAATGCAGTGTTTGATTTTCTGTTCTTGTGTCAGTTTGCTGAGAATGATGGTTTCCAGATTCATCCACGTACCTACAAAGGACACAAACTCATCATTTCTTATGGCTGCATAGTATTCCATGGTGTATATGTGCCACATTTTCCTTGTCCAGTCTATCATTGATGGGCATTTGGGTTGGTTCCAGGTCTTTGCTATTGTAAACAGTGCCGCTATGAACATATGTGTGCATGTGTCTTTGTAACAGAACGATTTATAATCCTTTGGGTATATGCCCAGTAATGGGATTGCTGGGTCAAATGGAATTTCTATTTCTAGGTCCTTGAGGAATTGCCACACTCTCTTCCACAATGGTTGGACTAATTTACACTCCCACCAACAGTGTAAAAGTGTTCATATTTCTCTACCTCCTCTCCAGCATCTGTTGTCTCCAGATTTTTTAATGATTGCCATTCTAACTGGCATGAGGTGGTACCTCAATGTGGTTTTGATTTGCATTTCTCTAATAATCAGTGATGATGAGCATTTTTTCATATGTTTGTTGGCTTAATATATGTCTTCTTTTGAAAAGTGTCTGTTCATATCCTTCTCCCACTTTTGGATGGGTTTGTTATTTTTTTTCTTATAAATCTGTTTTAGTTGCTTGTAGATTCTGGATATTAGCCGTTTGTCAGATGGGTAGATTGCAAAAATTTTTTCCCATTCTGTTGGTTGCCAGTTCACTCTAATGACTGTTTCTTTTGCTGTACAGAAGCTCTGGAGTTTAATTAGGTTCCATTTGTCTATTTTGACTTTTGTTGACAATGCTTCTGGTGTTTTAGTCATGAAGTCCTTGCCAGTGCCTATGTCCTGAATGGTTTTGCCTAGGTTTTCTTCTAGAGTTTTTATGGTGTTAGATCTTATGTTTAAGTCTTTAATCCGTCTTATTGAATTATTTACAGACTGGATTTTTCCAACTACCACACGGAGACTTTTTCATTGAGCCCGTGAAGAATCATCCACTGGCTGAGGGAGGGTACCACCTGCACATCGTTTACAGAAGGCAGAAAGTTCCAGAAACCAAGGAGCCAACCTGTGGATTAAAGGGTATTGTGATTCAAATGACCTCTTGAGTTGAAGATTCTGTTTTACTCTTTTGGTTGTTTTATTAAAACATGACCTATTCTTATTCAAATCTACTATCTCCTCTGTATTCTTTTTTTTTTCAATATCTTCATGACATTGAAATCTCTTCTGTATTCTGTGCCAGAAAGGGTACATTCTTGTTTCTTATATAAACCCTTTCACTTATCAATACTCGAATCTCTGCATATTCTTAATGAGAAGAAAATAAAAGCATCTTTGCCACATTAATTGATGATCCTCATAAGACATTTATAATGAATTGTTTTTTCAAACTCGTGTGAGTATTCTAAAGGAAAATAATTAAAGTAAATACTTAATGATCTTCAGTATTAGCAGTGTTATAATACATTAGTGTGGAATGTTACAGACAGCTCATCACATCTGCATATGGAAGGCCCATTTAAATGTTTGATGATGCTGATAATAACGTGTGAAGATAAACTGAAAAAAATATCTACACCTTGTCAGATGATGAATTCAGTGAAGTCTCTTTTGACAGCACGGTGTTGTGTTTGTAGTTTGCTGAGCTGCTTTCCCTGCCGTTAAGCCCCAAGAATGAGCCAAATAATTGCTCCTCTTGGCCTTGTCCCAGATAATTTCAGGGAGTTTTCAGAAGCAAACTGACTTGAGTCATTTCCTTGCACCCCCCACGTTCTGCTTAGTGTGTAGGAGATCGTAAACTAGGCATTCGTTTATCGGGATTGGGAATCAGGCCGGTTTCTTAAATATGATATAATTTCTCCTTTCTTCAGAAAAGAAAACAATGCTAGAGGGACAGTTAACAAAAGGAAGCCATAATATTATTTATGTGTCTTAAGGATTTGGAAACCATGGACCTCAAAGGGAAAACAGATCATGAGGGGATAAAGGAAGGTATATCCTGAAAAGGGTGGGGTGGGAGGACTCAGAACTGGAGCTTCGCAAACAGGAGCATGAAAGGACAAGGCGACAAGCGACTTCTCTACAGACTGCACCCAGCCCCTATGCCAGATAGCAACTTCCCTGGGAGTGTCTTCTATCATCTTGGCAGAGTATGCATGCAATAAGAAGCTTTTGAGTCTAAAATGTTTTCTGAACACAAAAACAGAAAACTGCTTTAAATTCTTAACTTTAGTAAGCTACTGCACCTTTAGTCTAAATTAGATAACTTACTGGCTAAATCCTCTAGCAAGTATCAAGAAAAGGGATGAATTGATTTGAGTGATGAAGGTATCAATACAGATAAGTTAGTCTCAATGTGAATATTTAGGGTTCTCTTGTTTGTCATTGATTCAGTCACCTGGATAATTACCCAGTTGCTCTTACACTCTGGGTGAGGGGGAGCACTTTGTGATATGATACCTTTTAAATTCATAAAACATCAATATGGTGGAGAAAGTTACTAGGACACAGTGAACTTGGCATCCTTGCTCTGTGAAATGAGTGAGACTGTTCCTCCTCTACCCACATTGAACACCTCCTTCTCATAACTCCCCTACTGAGGCAGAGTTAATTACAAGTGAATTGAGAATAGCAAATATTTAGTCATGAAGACAGAAGGGATGGATAGGAAAAGAGTGGGGCTTACAAATATTATGGTCCCCTATTAGGGCATACACAACACCACAATTACAATATTTGTCATCCCATTTCATGTTATACTTCTAGGTCAACCTCAAGACTTTCCACTTCTAAAGAACCTTCTCTTCTCTGATTAATGCTACCTTAGAACAATCTTTGTCTTGTGAATTTCTCCACTAGATGAAATTTATTCACCAGATGGAATTTCCACCAGGTAGCATTCCTTCACCTTAGTACTTTGATGTGCTAAGCAAGTATAAGAGAGTATCTGGTAGAGAAGTTCGCAAAAGAGATACTCTCTTATACTTGCTTAGTACCCCAGAGTGTCAGAATTGAACAGCTCTGCTAGAAGAAACTTTGAGGGTGCCTAATGAAGCTTCTTTCCTTCTTTCACCAAAGTGGTGGTTGTGTCTTAGAGAAGGGAAAGAATTGTCAAAAGCATCATTGTAATTAGTGTCAGAATATAGCTAAGCTCATGAGTCATGGTTCTATTCTACCTGAAGCTATATATAGCCTCCTGTTTACTTTTTATGTCTTCCTTGAATATAAACCTTGTTTCATTAATCATTCTCACAAGCCCTATTAGAATAGGTATTCCCTCCCCAGTCAGTGTAACAGAGGGTTCAGTACAAAGAATTCAGTAAGTCATCGAAAAGGAACTGACAAAGAGTATTTCATAGCCATGAAGGTGAAACAAGAGTATATTAGTGTCTAATGTATATGTCACTCATGGAAAGAAAAAGGAAACATGCCTTTTCCAAATATTGAGGAAGTATCAACAGTGTGTGATCATCTGTCTTCCTCAGACAATACATGTAATGCAATGTTTAAACAGTAGCTAGAGGATAGCTTATGCCTGTAATCCTAACCTTTTGGGAGGCTGAGGCAGGTGGATCACTGGAGTCCTGGAACTCCAGACCAGCCTGGGAAATGTGGCGAAATTTCATCTCTACAAAAAATATGAAAGGTAGCTGGATGTGGTGGCATGCACCTATAGTCCCAGTTACTCAGGAGGATGAGATGGGAGGATTGCTTGAGCCCAGAAAGCTGAGGCTGCAGTGAGCTGTATTACAGTACCGCACTCCAGCCTGGGTGAGAGTGAGACCCTGGCTCACAAAAAGAAAAAAATAAAATAAAATGGAAAAGAAAACAAACAAATGGACAAATATCCCATGCTAATGGATTGGAAGAATTAATATTGTTAAAAATGGCCATACTACCCAAAGCAATCTACAGATTCAATGCAATCCCTATCAAAATACCAATGCTGTTCTTCACAGAAGTAGAAAAAACAATTCTAAAATTTACACAGAACCACAAAAGACCCTGAATAGCCAAAGCAATACTGAACAAAAAGAACAAAGCTGGAGGCGTCACACAATTTGACTACAAAATATACTACAAAGACATAGTAACCAAAACAACATAGAATTGGCATAAAAACAGATGCACAGACCACTGGAGAGAATAGAGAACCCAGAAAGAAATTCATGTATTTATAGTCAACTGATTTTTGTCAGAAATTTTTTAGTTAGGGCAATAAAATTACTTTTTTCTCTATTAAAAAAAAAAACAGTAGCTAGAGATTCAAGAATAGCCAATGGGCTTGTGAATATTCTTAAACTGCAGAGGACATTTATAATTTTTAAATCTTGGCATGACGAAATGTTCTTGGCCTTGCGGAATCAGGTAATTGCAGTGTTCTCATACCAAATTGTCCTGCAGAGAGGACGGAATCAACGCTACTGACAGTAGTGTTGTCATTAAGCAACATTAAAATACATTTCATGCTTAGGTCAGTTGATGTTGCCAGACTGAATTACTGTGATATATATCACCTTTACCATATATAAAGCATTCTGCTTTTGTAATGTTCAAAGAGGAACACCCTAGATATTGAAGAAAGATGTTATTTAAAAGTACCCTAGTGCTTCAAGAGAGAAAAGATATCAATTAATTTCTCCTAAAATCCGTCCTTTCACTCACTTTTATTTTCCACATAGAAAAGTGCCCAAATGTCATAATATGTCCCTTGTCAATATGGCTTCATTTCTATTTTTCAGGCCTTTAATGCGATGCTATTTTGTTTTTAATTTGATTTGAGCTACCTCTTCTTAAGTTGTTGAGCTAGTTTTGTTTGCTTTTCTAAGCCTGATGTTTTATAAGCTCTGCTGAAGTTCTTTTCTCCTCTAAGATCAACTTTCTGGAATCTATGGTAAACAGTGGGAAAATACAGCTTACGTGAATTAAATCCAGGGCAAATTTCAAAACCTCACTTTATCAACAATGACAAGCTCCTTTCTCTAAGGCTTTTTGGTGAGAACACAATCACACTGGGACTTGAGCAGTGTTAGATGGAAGTCTCTGTGACAACTTTTGTTCCAGAAATCTGGGGAGGAAGAATTAACACTGGTCAGATAAATAAGATGAGAACAGCTACTGGGTCATCTACGGCAGAAAAGGGTCCTGGCAGGTAAGGTCAGAGTCTGGGATTTCATGCATTACGATCTAGGCTGGAAGTACAGGGTCTGGCTCCTGGCGTGCATGCTTGTGTTCAGAATTTATTCATTCATTCAACAAATATCCAGTAGGTATCTTCTGTGTACCTGGTTTTTCCTAGGCTCTTTGAGTAGAATTGTAAATAGAATATCGTTCTTTATCTGAAGCACTGACAGCTTGGCTATAGGACATGTGTAAGTAGAGATCTAGTCCTGGATTTATCTTGATAATTAATAGTAAGATCAATAAGAGATTTGGAATTTTAATGCATATTTTGTACTTTTTGCTACTCAATATTGGGTTGCTAGGACTCGTAGCTGTAATTCATTCATCTTCTCTTCCATAGATTCTCCATCTCATGAACCTTTCACACTTGATTTAATCTCCTTTGAGTGGATCTGAACTGCTTTCAGGCTTGAATTATTATACATTATGTTGAGAAGACCCTTCTTGTCCATGTTTCCTAATACAAAGGTTTATACATATTTCATTCTACTCAGTAGTGGAGTGAAATTTGTAACCAGTAAGATAAATACATCTATGACTTTAACAGATAATGCAAAATCGTTCAAGACAGTGAATGAGAGCTCCCATTTTCCCATATTCTGTCTAGTTCTTGGCCTTCTTGCTTTTGCATGTAGTTAGTCTGGTGAATATGAAGTGGTATCTCATTATGTTTAATGTTAAAGTCACACATATCCTGTTATGAATTTGGGTCCTAATCTATGGACCCTAAATCTATGGCTTGTGGCTGTAGATTCTCAATGAATAGTTGTCTCCCCTGGACCCAGAGTCAAGGCCCACTTTGTTTGCTTACTTTGCTTTTTTTCTGGTTTCCTTTTTCACTTAGTCTCTAGACTGACTTTTCACACTATGGGTCCTAATGTCTTTTCTTCCCCAGA